AAACTGAGACTGGCTGCTCTTCCTATTCGCTTTCTAAATTCTCATTAATGCTTAACCAGATGTTTTTCAGTAGATGCAATTGCTGTGATGACTTACAGCATGTTACTGCTTGACCCAGCACAGGAATGGAAGTGTCCAGTGCAAATTCTAACCTGAAATGAAACGAAGTCCGTGCTGTGTAACTCGACAAGGTGAACCGAGCCGTGCAGCAGCCCTCAGAGCGAATTTCCTGCCAAGTCGATTACAGTCAGTTTTATGATGTGCAGGCAAGGCTTCTTTTGAATGAAAGGCTTCTGTCAGATTCATTCGGTGGTGTTTAATTCTGATTTTGTGCTTGTTTCAAGGACTAAGTATCTAATTCACTTGGCCGCTGTGGATGTAGAGTGTCGCATACTGAAGGGAGCGTTGGTTAGCAAAAGCGTTCGTGTGGCACAGTGCCAGTTTTTTTGTGTATCATTCTGAAACTCCTGCTTACAGCAAAGATCTCATTATTTTGTCTAAAAAAGGCAAATAGCATCCAAATACTATTAATCTTGATGAAAGCCTACTACACAGCGAGGCAATTAGCTAGACACATGGAGTACAAACTAAGACCTCAGAAAGCAGCAGTTTCTTTTAAGTGCACTTCGTATTTTTTCAGTTTTATAGAATGGAGGGACCTTATGCAAAAATCTGCAAGATGTAGCCCACGACATGCTTTGAAACTGCATGAAAAATATGGTTTCCCATAAAACCTGCTTCCAGAGTCCTGCATTGCAGCATATGGCCACAGCTCGGTTTGTGGAAAAAGAAAAGCCCCCAAGCCTGGAAGGGGGTTACGTGTCCCTGCTTATTCATATTCCTGAGTGGAGCTGAGGTGTATTCCTGAACAGTACAAATGGCAAGCACAAATAAACGTGCCTTGCACTTCGATGAAGGGTTGCATCTCCCTGGTAGGCGCCTCTTCCATGTTGCAGCAGGACTCCAGAATTCTCCACTTCTGGGAGCAGCCACCAGGAGCGACGGGCTGCCTCCAGGCTCTGTCTTTGACACCCCATCTCTAGATCGCTGCCTTGCCCTCGGCTTGGTGTGCCTGCCAGCTGCTTCGGCGCAGTCGGCACTCCCTGACCCAGCGTTGGCATCCCACCTCTCCCGTCCTTTACAGCTCTGCCACAAATCGGCAGAGTGTTCTGCTACCAGAGCAGATGTGGAGCGTTAAGCACGCAGGAGACAGTTCTCTAACGTAGTCTGTGTTGTGTATCAAATCTGTCCGGCAAGCATTCATCTCTTCTAGGAAATCTTGATTCCTGGATTACTCCCTTAGAACATCGTTTTCATTCCTGAATTTAGTGATGTTTTTCTGAGCCAGAGTTTTTAATGGGTTTGAGGCTGTTGCTACTGCCTTTTCTTTGTGAGTAATTTTTTTCTCTTTTTTTTTTTTTAACAGATAGGATTTAGACCTCACTGCTTTAACAAAAAACTTCTGTGTGGACTAGTTAATGCCTGCATTAACCTACTAGTAAGGTAGAATTGCTTAGAATTGAATGGATGTGGTTCTCAAGGTGACTTGATTTTTTTTTCCTTTGTCATCATATATGTGCAAAAGTCTGTTCAAATTGAGGTGTTTCTGATAGCTCAGTACTCCATGTAGCTCTCAATGTAGAGTATCCCTAAAAATGGGGATATGTTAAGAGCAATATTTTCCTAAACATTTGAAGCTGTTAACTTTAAATCTGTTGCTGCTGTTAATGTGTAGAGGAATTGCTCCTAAATCTGTATGTTTGCCATAGCGTAAAAACCAGAACAGAAATACGGTTTGCATACATCTTAGTGGTTCTTCATTTGTCGGCGTGTTTTCTCGGAGCTGGGCTATCAAGCAAGGCATTGGAAAGATTCTCACTCCCCTAAATAGTTCTATCAGGAAGGAAATATTGTTTGGATCTAATACAATTGTAATAGTCACACAAATCGTCTTCAGCTAAAAAACTGTAGTGTCCTAGTCCTGCTTGTCCACTAGAAGCAGCATATCCTGGTCTTCTTGGCAGTTTTGCCCTGAAAGTGGCAGGACATTAGTCTTCCCGTGGAGGCGGACATTGCATTGTACCCATTTTTACAGAATTCTCGTCCGTGGATCTTGGCAATTCAAGCAGTATTTGAGGTATTTTCTTGGCTTATGCTTGGAATTTGCACCTTCTGCCCATTTATCAGACTCGGAGGACTTGCCAGCTGCCTTACCCTTCTTGATTTCTTTCCTATCTTCAGTAAGAATTACTACAGCGAAAAAAAATCTGCCGATATTCACTCTTGACAGAGTTTGGCATTCTTGAGAAAGCGCTGCCCTTTCTTTCCTGGCTTGATATCCATCACTCCCTGACGATGTCCTGAATTATGATTTTTTTTTTTTTTTTTTTAAGACAGTCTTCTGGGGGTGGAAAAAGCAGCCTCTGAATCCAGCCTCTTCCAGTTTCTATCTGTAAGCTTTGGAATACAACAATACAGTAAATATTTTTCTGTCTAGATCCCATACGTGCAGGAGCTGGTGTTCTGCTGTCTGCCTGCCTCGGGTTATTTGTGATGTGCCAGCCTTGAGCAGGGTGCTCTGTTTACCGTCTCTCCCTTTCCCCGGTGTTGGCTTCTGCGTTCTCTTGGCGAAGTGTGCGAAGTGTCGGGACGCAGTACTGCCATGTCTTTCCCCTCTATCTGCTTGTTACGTATTCACGCTTAAAAATCTGGGGTGGTTTCCTGGGTTTGTTCCCTGTCTTCACAACACGACTTTCCTGACTTGTTTCCGTATTTAAGTATTTCCCAAAATGGTACTACTAGGGATGGGGGGTGCATCCTTATTTTGATCCTGATTCTTTGTCTTCCATTAAAACAAACCAAACCCTTGCAATCCTGAATTAATGGGCACACCCGTCGCCCGGTTGTTGTTTTTGTTGTTCTCCTGTAGGCTCGAGAACAGTACACTTTAGTTATGAAGCTGGTAGAGCTTTGGTTGAACTTGATTATTTCAGTATATATCCTACGTACATTAACAGAAGTATTTGGTTATGATGGTATGTTAACTCACTGAGCCTCATAAAAGGATTTAAGTTTGAAATAGGCTGTTAAAGGACATTCTTATTTGGTGCTGGCAGGAAATTTATGGAATATATTTATATAGCCATTCCAGGCGTAGGGGTATTCTGAGTTATTGCAATCGGCTGCTGCTCTCGCTATTCTAATTCAAAGTAATAAAACACAAGAGAGTGTAAACTCATTGCTTGTAACCCCGCGGGAACTGCTCTGCTTTGATATTTGGAGAAGGTGAAGAGAGTTCCCATCATTGAGAAGGTTAGAAAGACTGGATTAAAGTTGTAAACTCTTCAGAAAGATGTTTTGATTAAATGTGTGCCTAGTTTTATTTGATCTTCAAAGATAAACTTCTGTTCTTTGGTGAACTCTTCTCTTTGCCAAGTAATTAAGAAATGAAAAGTAAGTTAATATTACAATTGACGGTATGGAAGCCTGGTCTGTGTACTGTTTTTCTCAAACTCATTGTTTCCTGCATTCTGGAGATGCCAGGAAAAATATGCCATGTGTAGCTGGGGAAAGACTGGTGCATTCCAAAAGCAACGATATGATATGCTGGGGTTTTATTACCTAAATAGCTGTATTCTGTGACTGTTACATAAATCTTTAGAATCACAGAACTCTGAAAATTATATAAACATCAGTCTTTAATGGAGCTTCTGTATTGGATAACTTGGATGTGTGTTGGTCTGCTCTTAAACAGCCTCTAAACAGAATTTAACAAGGTACGGTTCTTTCATTTTCAGGGTCCAGCTCCTCCTCTGTCTTCTCATTATGAAATCCTAGTCTCTGTTATCTGGTGTCTCTTAGATTGTGGAGACTTCTGAAGATGGATAGATAGTTCTTACTGGAGTTTCAATGCTCAGTCCAGACCTCATTTGTGGAAAAACGACTTGCAAGTTTCCTCTTCAGGGATTTTTCACTTAGTGTTTTTTCTCCCTTTGTAATAAAAAGCTGAAAATTTTGGTGTCTGTATTTTGCCTGGTTTCAGTCCAGTGCAGATGTGTCTGTGGTTCACACTTAGTGATCATACACGTGTTTCTGCCTTGCTTGCTAACGTGCCGGCCTCCTGGTCCAGCTGCTGGGGTTGCCGTCACGAGCTGTCTGACAACTCGTAGCAGAGACCCTGTTTCACAACCAAAACTTGGTTTTGATTTAATGACTTGAAAGGGCAAACTGGATTATCTAAGTGTTCAAAATTGCTGGGTTTTGTCAAGCTTGATCATTTTAGCATCATCGCCATGCTGATACCTCTGGCGTGCCTCAGCCTCTGGCCTTCGTCGTGGAGGTGCGCCTGAGGAACGCGCTCAGCGTCCTCCGGCAGCGGCTGGAAGTCGGCAGCCTGGGGACGGGTACAAGAATAGAGCAGCCGCCTAAGGACACTTCTCTCAAATACTCTAGCAGGCCCCAGCGGGTGTGGGTTTGGGGGCGTTTTACATAGCTTCTGTTAAAGTAAGGCAGGGCAGGATTAGTGGGTTTTGGATGCCAAAGCTTGTGGACTTTCTGTTGATACTAGGCTGTGAATTCGGGTGCAGACGACAGGGTCTGCAGTCAAGCCAGCGGTTGCTCAGAGAGGCAGTGCCTTGCCACCTTCTCCCAGAATCCTCACCTGGAAAATGCCCCTAGCTTAACTAAAAGCACTGTTAATTAACCTGCGCTTAATCTTTGTTCTCTTGTCTCT